AATTCGATTAAAAACATATTTAATTATTTAATCTCACGCTTGCCATGGATTCAAATCTAGTAAAGTTGTAACAGTGGATTAAACACATATTTGGTCATTGCATGCATCGTCTGTTGCTTGTAATCTGTCGACTGTCGGGAAAAACATTGAAAAGATTCCGACCGCACAAACGGTCCAATACCATCAACATCATTATAACAAAATAAATTCTACTACAATATTATCTTTCTCTCATAACCAATATTGCAAGTTGGCATGTGTCCTAACCACTTAACCTGTCAGCGACTCATGAAACCAAACAGCTTCCACTAGTAGCAACACCAGAACCTATCTCTACAACTCCTCTATATAAACACAAACATTGAAGGACATGAGATTTAAGAAAAATCTCCAAGCTTCAAGAGGTTACGTGCTGATAAAGAAACTGGTAATTTCTACATATATACACTATGAACGGAGATCTAGTTAAGAGAAGTTCTAGTGTTGCCGCGAAGAGAAAGAGAGATGGAAATCATTATGAAGAACTCAGGATGATTCCCAGACGTGGGCAGATTAAATCGCGGATCGCTGCAACCGCTTTGCACTCTATTGTATCGGTTTTGTCTAGGGCTAGATGATCAGATCATTATCATCATCTTGTGTGTTATGTTATAGAGATTAAAAGATCCTCATGTGTGTGTTCTGTTTTTCTTTGCTTCACAAAAATATGTAATCTCCTCTATATATATGATGACGACTATTGGATCGTGGTTTGTTTTTAATCAGTTTAGTTATGTTATGTAATTTTGAGTGCTTCTCTTTTTAAAAATATTTTCGGTGGCTATATTATCGAGTCCGATTCAATTATACCATCTTTAGCTATGAAATTTACCTATTAGTGGTTAAAGTTAAATTATGAGATTAATTTGATTTTGCATCTGCGAGATCCGGTCATTGTGGCTCTAATGCAAATCCCTTATCTAAAATTTTCTATATATATGATGATGACTATTGGATCGTGGTTTTTTTTTTTAATCATTTTTGTTATGTTATGTCATTTTGAGTGCTTCTCTTTTTAAAAACATTTTCGGTGGCTATATTATCGAGTCCGATTCAATTATACCATCTTTAGCTATGAAATTTATACCTATTAGTGGTTAAAGTTAAATTATGAGATTAATTTGATTTTGCATCTGCGAGATCCGGTCATTGTGGCTCTAATGCAAATCCCATATCTAAAATTTTCTATATCGCCTTGGGATAAATAGATAATAGATTCAACATAGTCCGAGAATGATACAAAAACGTTGAAAAACATCACAAGATTCGTCAGAGCACATGTAATAAATTTATGATGCTTTTGTCTCGAAAAACAAAAAAAACTTGGTGTATTTATATAGTAATGAAGAATATGCGTTGCTTCCGAGAATTCACCCAAACCGGCGCTATGTATGCCACTTATAATACAACCCCTAATATTTTAATGGGAAATTAGGAAGTATATTAGTCAATGTACTTATAATTAAACATCTAACACCCTAAAAATCATAATTTAGTATATATCATAGAATACTAATGGTACCCTTATTACTTATTTTTACCTTCAAACAAAATAAAAGTCAAAACATTATAATATTTACTCTAACTTAGTCTCCAAAAAAAAAAAGTCTCTCTCTATCGTCTTCTACTCCTATCGTCGCCGCCAACCTTATTCACTCGTTTGCTGGCTTTATCCTCTCACCGCTACCGTTGAATTACCTCTTCCACATCTCCTTCCCGTTCGTGTTATACTCTCAATACAGAAGCCGTAATCACTCGTTCACATCCCTCGTTCTTCTTCTCACCGCTAGACAAGTCTTGAAGAGAGACAAGTCTTGTTTGCATCGTGAACTATTTTACATAAAACGTGTTCTTCTCCAAGCCGCAGTGGCTGCAGCTGCGTCCAAGTAAAAGACTCGTTGATGGATGATGGTGTTGTTAAAAGCGGACGCCGTTATTGTTTGTGACGTCTTTAATAGCCGCTGCAAATTTCGGCGACACCTAACATGTGCAATTCGTTCACTATAACAGTCGCAGCGTCACAAACTTATTTATGCTACCGCCGTCATTAAACTCATTTTGTACTGTTGCAGCCAGAGCCTCTGCAGCTTGGAGAAGAACATGCTCATAGTCAATTATGTTATATAGTGAACTATATTAATCAATATAGGTAACCTGATAACTAACTATTCGCACATAGATTAGTTGATAGTTGACAATTCGTACACAAATAGTGAACAATATGAACTACATATAGTAGTTGATAATTGACTATAGATTTAGTTACATAGTTAACTATTATTACTTGTGAACTTGTTTGCGTAGTTAACTATTGTAATCAATTTTTTACATTAATTTTAAATAGTGAACCGTTGAAATAGTCAACTATATAAAGCTCAAAAATTAATTTTGTAAACTAATGAAACCCACGATTTAAAACCAAGATTTTTTTGCTGATCTCCAATATTATACATATTTTAGGAATTTTTTAACCAAAAAACATTAATATCTTCATTAAGGATATTTTCGTCAAAGATTTACAACTCATTGTTATATACCTAAATACAAATCACATGATGTTAGTTACCTAATTTCATCTACAATAGGTAATATACACCTAATTAACCCTATTTTAATTGCATAACATTTTTAAAATATTGTATAGAAACATTTGATATATTGTTACATTGATCGAAGTTTTGGGTTTGAGGACGTAAACTTGCATAAGTTTAGATATCATTCGATTCCAAGCGAATCATACAAAAACATCTTGTAAGATTGAGTGGATTATAAGAATGTTTTAGGAAATGTTAGTGAATTGTGAAAACCATACATTTATGCTTTACCAAATTTGTTTAGATTTTGAGTTCGGTTAGGGACATAAAGTAGTACATATGGCTTTTTAAGTGGTTCAAAAAAAGTGTAAACGGTTATACAATAGTTAAAAGTTATAAAAATGTACGAAATGATACAAAACTGAATGTAATGCCGTTGATAATATTTTTAATATCGTTGTGTGACTATATCAATATAATAGTTGAACGCTAGATGGTGCCGGAACCTGAGTTTTAAATGGCGCTAGGCGCACAATGGCGATAAAGAGGGGGCTTTGCACCTTGCGCCATGGCGCAACAAAGCGCGCGCCTTACGTATTAAACTGTAAAATAACGTTAAAACTTAAAGAAGAAGAAACCAGTGAACTAAATCTCCAAAACAGCAAATCCATAATAATAAACTAAATCTCCAAAACAGCAAATCCTAACATTCAAATCCAAAACAATAAAACACTGAATCCAAAACTCTGCAACTCTTCTCGCACATGTTCTGGACATAACATACACGCTCTCGCATTCCTAAAACCTCTAATCAAGTGCTGTTTGAGGCGTGAAACTCCTCCATTCGTCACTCTCATACAGAAAATACACTTCCATGAGTTATTACTCTTATCAACGCTTGTTCCATATTTTCTTCCTGGATCTACTCCTCTAGGATTAGCCATCGGATACAAGGAACAATATGAGAGGAACAATATGAGAGGAACGAGACAAAGAAGAATATGAGAGGACAAGAGAGGAGAGGATAGGAGAGAAGAAGAGAGAAAAAGGCAGCGACTCTTTGTTTATAAAGAGAAAAAGGCAGCGACTCTTTGTTTATAAAGAGAAAAAGGCAGCGACTCTTTGTTTATAAAGAGAAAAGGCAGAGAAGAGTCTTTCCGTTTTCCAAATTAGGTTTTATTAGACTTAAATTCGAATTATACATTTAAGGTAATTTTAATATCATTAAACCAATCTAAGATTTTTATCAAAACACAATGTTTTGATCAAAATAACAAACGCATCGCCAAGGCGCGCTTTGTGCGCCTATACAAATGTCGCCTTAGCACATAAAGCCCTCGCTTCATGTATAGTGCCTCGACATACAAGCTCATGGCGATGAGGACAACGCCTTGATGTGCCTTGCGCCTTGGCGCATAATTGGCGCGCTTTTTTAAACACAGGCCGGAATCACTTTTGGTCAACGGTACAGTCGTGCATGCGACGTCTTTTCTATATTCGTTTGGTTGTGGTTTATCTCTTTTTTTTGCATATATGAAATTCGTCGATGGCTCTTTGGAGATCAACAACAGTGTGGTGTTTGGTAGGTTTTTGGTCTGCTTTGATGTGGAACTTTATCGTATTGCT